CGATTCTTATTTACATTTCTATAGGTACGTATGTATATACATGTACATGTATGTATGTATGTATATACATATATATGTACGTTAGTGGCAAGATTTCCCAAACAATCAAAACATATTCATTGCACCTGCTTTTCTGGGAAAGTACAAAACATATGTACAAATTCTTTCTTTTCACTTTTTAACAGATACATTGCCAGTGCAGTTAGTCATTAAAATCGATCACATGGCTACTCACGGTTAAGTATCCATTAAAGTTTTTTTTTTTGCATTTCTATGAGGTTGGATTGCAGGTTAGTTTGAGGCTGGTACAAAAAAAAAAATAAAATTAAGAGGACATGACACCTCCCACCTTTTTAACTTCAAAGGGTAAATACTAAGTAATTCAATGGCCCATTCTTTTTTCTCCATGGACTGCATTCAAGACCGCAGGCCCACCTACGACAACGCTAGGGAAAATCAGTACATAATCGTTCCCACGACAGTCGGGTGTACGTAAGCGGAACAACCAAGATTAACGTTCAAATCGTCATTTAAAATACAAAACCCGAGTAGGTATCTTGGTTCCGCAAAACCTCGTAACTGACATTTGTCCCAAAAATGAGAGTTGCTCACCGGAAGCTCCTGACATCAAACCTTATTCATTCATACCAAAGAATCGATATTTAGATATAAGAGATATAGATACCTGGGGATAAAAGGGAGAACCGTTTTAAAATAAAATAGGTTTTACAGGATTGTTACTTCAGCATCACTTGCCAAAAATTCTTTGGGCGATTTGTATGCTGTTACAACAACAATCAGTAGGTATATATTCAATAAGGTAAAAGTGATAAAGTGACAACTAATTTGTAGGTAAAATTTGTTTCAATACGATGTATTTTGTTTTATGTTGGACTCTTCAGTGGCAGTATAAAAGATAGAACTGTCGAAATCACTAGTATCTTGTTTAATGTGACTTGGTTGAAAAATTTTGTACATTGTTCATTTTATCAGTAATTTACTGTCTGTACTTTGCAAATAAACAGTGAAGATTTTAACTGAAATTGTATGAATGCCTGCAGCTTTCCGGTCGGTATATGCAAAGATGTTTCCATCATAACAAATATGGTTGAAACATCCAGGCAGTAATAATAAAATAAATTTTACCGAGGTGCAATGAACTGCAAGGGTACATACATATACATACTTATTATTTACATTAATATTTATAGATGAATTCGTTGGAAGCATACGTACCTACATACATATTTACAAGTTGCTGTGTGGGACTTTTTGAACCTAACCTTATAAAATGCACAAAAAAATATTCTAACGTCCATTTTCAGTTTTCTAAAACTTTTTTCGCATAACTTCAAAGTAAAATACAAATATTTTAATTTGTTTACCTTCCTTTCCAGGCACATATAGTCCATAAAAGGGCATCTCCGTTCCTCGTTTACCCCTGGCTGATAGGCGTCGATTCCTTTACAATTTTCTCACCGATTTGCACACGATATATGTATTCATGCGCAATTCCACAGTGAGTGTTTTTATTTAACACTTACGCGAATTGAATATAACTAGCTTTCGGCGCTGTTATTAATTAACAAGCAAAATGCCACTGAGCTCCGCGAAGTTTCACAATATGTGTGGTAAAAAAATAAGAAATTGCCAACCAGCCAAAATGCAGAATCGCTATGCTCTTCTCTGAACACTTATCGTTCAATATTTCCGAAGCTTTCAGATTCCAATAAATTTATTTTCTTAGGCGCAGTTTTTCTCAATTTGTAAATAAATCAAATTTCTTTAAAATTTCACTTTATTTCAAGTAGAGCGCGCTCAAGAATTTTTTTTTTTAGTTTTACCGTTTCCTTCACATTCCAACAACAGAGTGTTCGCAAATTAAAAAAAAGTTAAAAAACAAGAATGAATGTCAGAACAGGGATAGATCACAAAACTTCCACTGGAATGCACTACCGGACGCCACTGGAATGCACTACCGGAAGTACAGGTTGATAAACACTGGTTTCACCCTGTTACATTTGGTCACACGGTGCTTCCTCTTCTTTTCGTTTTATTTCGTTTCTTCTTTGTTCAGCTACTGGGACGACATCTATTTTTTGAACACGAAAGCAGTAGCGTTTCGCCAGCAGAGGGCGCTATTAAGGAGAAGAGGAGGCAGAGAACGTATAGTTATGAGAAGATGCAAATCGTAAATCTGCTCTTCTTCATTATTTTCTGAAACGTTTCAACCATGATACAAATATAGTAAGGTAGAACCGCTGAGAGTAACTTTTAAAATTCTTGATGTTTCCAAACAATTTAATTTTTAAATTTACTCACAAACTCACAAACACATTTTCATTTTCAATGTCAAGCAACAACAATTTCGAACAATTTCAATTTTTTATTTTCACTTTTATATGATTTTAAAATGTTGGCAAACTTCAAAAAAAAAGTCATGGCCGACAAATTGAGAGAACGGTTCTACCTTGCTATGTTTATATCATGGTTTCAACCATGGGTCGTAACAGAGAAATGCTAAATTTCATGTTACTGTGCTGCAAAGTCTGCAAACCTGCAAACTGAATGTTTATCATCTGTTAACCAAACCAGCAAGCATATGAAAACAAAAACTTGTACCTAATTACAATTAAAAATAAATAAATTATTGGATATGCATTGAATGTGTTTTTTTTTCAGTAATTGCTCTACTTATTTAAAACATTATGAATTGTACGTTGGTGCCCAATCCTTATTTCGTAAAATGGTGATTGTAATCGATTCAGATTTGCCGTCGGCATTTCAGAGGCGCTTTGGGTAAAAAAAATCGAGTTTACTTTTTTACCGATTCGCATGGTAGATGCTACACTATTTTCAATGCAACAAACCACAGCTTTCTAGCTGCCTTAATTTTTTCACAAATTAATTTTAAATATGGACACATTGACTAAAAAGTGTACAAATGCAATGCGCTTGTTAACTAACTTCAAAGTTGCTTTTCTCGAAAAGTTATTTTTGAGTTTTATGAACATTTATTTTGACAAAAAATGTGTTGCATGATCATTTTTTCACTGCAATGCTCGTATTTATATATGTACATAAATAACTGGGGCATATTCGTAGTTAAAATAAAGTCGTCATTAAAATTAGTTATAGGTAGCTTTTTTACATTATTTTCAATGGAATATCTGTGAAAAGCTGCAAACTTTATTTCAACTACGAATATGCCCCAATAGGTTTGGATTCAAATGAAAATGCATTTCCCACGCATATACATGTATGTATGTACATACATGCTCCATTACTTGATAACGTTTTTTACATGCATATATATGTATGTGCATATTACTGCCAAAAAAACTACGAACATGCATATAAATGTACATATGTACAAATCACGGCAGCATACATACATATGCACATAATTACACGTATACTCAAATACAATAATAACTATTTCAATCATAAACGCATTCGCATATTTCTCAAGGTCAAGATATTCCATTCTTAAATACTACAGCCGCACATCTCCCCGCAAATTCATCACCCTCAACCGCAACTTTGTCAATCCGACACAAAAATTCTAAAATGTAAAATTGAAGAAATCTCGGCCAGCCAAGTGAAAAGTGGCAATTATTTCTCTATATCCTGTAAAATAAGTTATCTCGAATTTTGGTAATTTTTGTTAATTTTTGACAAAACACTCAATTTCTCTGTTCCCTTCCAATATTTTAACCATTAACTAGTATTTTAAGGTGTAATTTTAATAAACATTAAATAAAAGTCTACGTTATCTGCAGGAAAATACATTGATTTTTTTTTAATAAAATCAAAACTTCTAAAATCACAAACATATGTGGTTTTATCGGAAGTTCACAGATGTAACGTGGCAACTTAGCTCGTTTTCACATTTTTCGGTCCGAAATTGTAAAATTTTTGCCCATGACGCGCCACGATTTTTGTACAGGTGGGTCAATGTGCCTTGAACACCATATGCATATATGCAAACAAATTATTTGATTTATTTTTTAATTTTAAAAATTTCTATACCTCTAAGAGTTTATAAAAATATATTTATATATATATCCACAGATTATTTTAAATTTTTTTCATCCGTAACCAAATCTTCAGTACCATAAAAAGATTCAAACACATCAAAGTACAATCAATGCTATGTCCAAGTTAGTGCTACTCCACTGTACATGTGTATATGAATGTATGCATGTATGCGTGTAAAAAATGCCAATTCCAGTTTGTGTTTAACCCATTTGCGGACATAGTTTTTTGGGTTTCAGCTGGTTCCAACTGTTAATGAAGCACAATTTTTATGTTTAATCTTTATGAAAGTTACATATATCGTCGAGAACATGGTTACATGCAGAATTTTAAATTAATTAATATTATTCACCATACAAAATGTACGAGTATTGCTTTATTAAATGCAAACTTATGCGAAAATCTAAATATTTCTCACTCATGGGGTTAATGGTTTCGCGCACGTGCCAATCTGGTGCCGATTCGCAGAAATTGAATAATTTGTGTTGAAGGCAGCGGCGAGGGGAAGACGAAAGCAGACCAATCGTACATTTGTATGTACATATATATGTTACATACATACATTGCATACCTACATATTTACAAAGGCATGTGTATATATGTACGTACAAATTTATGCGTTTGGCTTTTTGCATGAATAGAAAATTTGATTGCAGAAATAATTTTAATGAAATTAATTTTACAAACACATTTGTACTATATAATATTAAGTGTATTAGTTAATATCGGTATTTTGATAACAAGCCATAATTTGTTAGACACGCATACGTACATACACGGGCAATCAAAAGTGATTGCATGGTTCTTTTTTGTATAATACTTACAATGTTTTTCAAGTAAACATTTTTTTGTTATTTTTTTTAAAAAAATATGGTTCATGCTTTAATCGAAACCACATAAGTCAAACTTTCCCTCCTTTTGTATCAATTTTGGCGCAATTTTTACCATTTAGATTAGAAAAGTGTAATTTACATACATACCTATAGGTTTTAACATATTTTCTGCATAATACTGTCTGCACAATACTGTTGACAACATTTTTCCTGCACACCACTCTGTAAAGTCAATTTGAAATGTTAAATAACCGCGGTGAAAACCCATCGTTGAAACGTTTCAGACTTTCGTTTTTTGCATCTTCTCATAACTATACGTTCTCTGGAGGAGGTTAGCAGTTACGCAAAAGCAAGGGGTTGCAAATTCCAAATTTCCTGATGATGCATTTCCGAACGCTGTTTTTGTAGTTAATCAGGTTTTGAATTTTTTATTCATTTAAAGTTATAGGAATTTTAAGGGCGCAGCCGATTAAATTTTATTATAATTTAGAGAACGTTTTAAGTAGCTACACTGCGGAAAATTGTGATCCCGGGATTTCGGGATATTTTTTAAGTAATGCCGAGATCCCGGGCATTTTTATTTATTTTTAAATTAAAATATTTATTTGAGTATAAATAACATTATTGTTTCATTTTTCAAGTGCAACGTTTCTATAAATAACTTTATTAAAAGTTGAATATGTAGCTTTATATTAATGACGTCCAAATAACCATGTCGACCTATTTAATAGCGATACACTTGTTATTTTTTTTTTACTTTGCTTATCTTAAAGATTGCTATTAATTTTCAAAGTGATTTGGTATTTGTATATGCATTATTAAATTTTTTTTTTGTTTTCTGATATCGTAATATCAATTGCAGCTTTTTATATATTTTTTTTTATACTTATTTAATTCATGGTAGATATTGTCCATATTGC